CCTCGACTCTGTCTTTTGATTTCTCTCGGTGGGAACAAAGCATATTAGAAGGTGTTATTGGTAGAAGCGTTGTCAAACACTGAATACCTGTATCATCTTCATTTGTAATTGCAAATCGGAAATTACGTAACATGTAGAATCATATAAATTAGGCAAGAACAGGGGTGGATGTTGAATAAATATCTCAAAAATGTTAGCAAGTAGATAGTAATAATAGTGACAACGGTAAGATGTGTGGATAAGTTCGAAAATAAATAAACATTAATCCGATAACGTCACCATATCATGAAATTGATTATTAACTCGTTGGGTCTGAAGTTGACCAAGTAAAAGGATCGGCTGAACATATTTCGTTGGAATGCAAAGTTCTGGCTTTTTGATCCGAATAGCAGTTGCTTTAGCCGTCTGCAGGACTTTATTTTACATGACAAACAAACCTTGATTCACATGCTACAATTTTGAATGATGTTCCCTGCCCTAAACCTGACTCATTTTGTGGATTAATAATTTGGATATATAATTATAGGACCAATGGGTATGTTGGTAATTTCCCAAATTTTAGGTGAAAACCTCCAAAATATGTTGCGCAGTTCTGTGAACATGAATTTACTATTTAGGGTAATGCTTAGGCCTTCTACAATAGATTTTAATATTCTGTTACATGATAATCAAGTTCACCACGCATTCCATTACCATCATTTTTACCTTGCTTTAGTACGTCAAATAGACAAGAGAGAAAATAGCATCCGTTAAACGCCACTCTTAAAAAAACAAGCCACGAAGGTGAATTGCTGTTACTGTTATAAACTTCGACTACTCCTTCTGTCGAGCTTGAATGCATTTGTTTCTTTTAAACTAATAGTGAAGAATGCAACGAAAGAGATGAGTGCGATAATGACCAACGAAGATTCAGAGTTGAGGAAAGGCTGCTAGTGCTGAATGACATCATTGGTTTAACACAAGAACAAGGTCATGTAAGTCGGTTTTCTGATTGTCGATTTTGACATATGATACTCGGCAGGGGCAATAACTATAACAATGAGCAATCAAATAACTACGGAGATACAACTTGATGTTGTTCGTAATAATTAAAAACTGAAAGGAAAAGATTAGATTCAGACGAAATTTTTGTTGTACACTGGTCACAAAGAAGAAAAAGCTCCACATACGAAGAGAATTGTTCTGATGCTGTCCAAATAAGCACGAAAAGCACATATAAGATAGGAATCTGATGGATCCAGGATTATCAAAGCATCCTAAAGAAGAAGTAAAACCAAACGAGTGTTTTCAATGCTATGCATTCACCAATGATAGCAACGACGACGATTAAGTTCAGCATTATGAGAAACAGCTATCGATTGTACAAAAATGACCAAGAGAGGACCTGAGAATCCAGATAAGAGATCTAAACACTGAGTATGAATGTATATTACTTAATATCCAAATACAAAATAATCCACTTCAGCTAAACCTAGTACTTGTAAACGCGTGGAAAATAAAAATACTGGAAATATGAAAAACCAAACCAGCAACATAGAACCTGTCACTTAACTTGATAGGCTCCCAATCCCACAGTTCGAAAAAATGTACCTGAGATAGATATGTATATTAAAAAAAACGAGAATAAGTTGTGCGGACGAAAGAAACAAAACGAGTTAAGACGGATTAGTTATGGGCGGAACAATATTCCTACACAAACGCATACATAAAGCTACATGGAATGAACAACACCGGATATGAGGATACCATGAGACTACATGGACTGAGAGAAACAAACGGAAATGGCGAGAGATTTGCAAACCAATGTCCATTCAACAACTTGGTTACAGGTGGTACATTATTACCACACAAACGCATACGTAAAGCTACATGGGTCTCACAGGATCACACCACAGAAAACTAGATAGATCATATTTGCATCAATAAAAATTCCGAAGGACAATGGGAGACGTGAAAACTAGGGAAGGAACTGGCATAGCTTTAGATCAACACCTGGTTGTGTCCAGAAAGAAACTGAAGCCAAAGAAACACTGGATAGCTGGGGAAACAGTATTATGAACGCTCAATACAGCCTTGCTTCTAGATACTAACAAACTGGACAAAGTCAAGATAACTCTCAACAACAGGTTCCAAGCCTTACAGGATCTACTGAAAGAGAAAGAAACTACTAAGGAGGACAATTAGAAGGGGATTGAAGAAGCATTAACTTCGACGTGTCAGGAGGTGATGGGCCTCAACAAGCATCACCATAAGGAATGGATCTCGATAGAAACCCTAGAAAAGGTTCAAGAAAGGAAGAACAAGAGGACAGTAATTAACAATGGTCGAACAGTAGCAGAGAAAGCCGATGCACGGACCAAATTTAAAAAAGCATAAAAACGAGTGGAGAACATTAGAGTTGACAAGCAGAAATACGTTGTAAAGCTAGCGACGACAGAGGAAAAAGCCTCAAGAGAAGAAAATATGAGAAAGCTACATGACACGACGAATCCAGCAAGGAATTTCAGTAAACCAGAAAGACAAAGAAGGCAAGACAATCACCGAGGTTTAAGGACAGAGGAACAGATGGGTCGAATACTTCGAGGAACCCTTGTATAAACCTTCTCCATTGAATTCACTGAACATCGAAGTAGCACCTACAAACCTTTCCGTAGATGTCACTCCACCAACGATCGAAGAAATTAGGGTGGCCATCAAACAAAAGAAACGGGAAAGCAGCAGGATCTGACAATATACCAGTTTAAGCTCTGAAGTCAGGTATTGAAGTAACTGCAAACATGCCCCATATTCTATTCAGGGAGATTTAAGAGGAAGAACAATTGCCGACGGATTGGAAAGGATACTTTATCGAGATACAAAGGAACTGAGATCTGGGTAAGTGTGAGAACTGCAGAGGCACCACACTACTGTCAATACCAGGAAACGTTTTCAACACTGTTGCTGAACCGAATGAAAAACCCAATAGATGCCCGACTTCGAGATCAACAAGCTAGATTCCGTAAGGGTCGGTCATACTCAGACCAACACTACGGATTATCGTTGAACAATCAGTTGAGTGAAACTCGTCACTATACATCAACTTCCTCGACTATGAGAAGGCATTTGCCAGTGTGGATAGGAGGACCTTACGGAATTTTCTTCGATACTATGGAGAGCCTGAGGGATCGTCGACATCATATGGAATTCCTACTACGAACTACAGTGCAAAGTGGTGCATGGAAGACAGCTGACAGATGAAATCCAAATGAGGACCGGAGTCAGACAAGGCTGCTTACTCTCCTCCTTCTTCTGATGGTCGACTGAATTATGAAGACCTCGATATCTGAGGGGAAGCACGGAGTACGATGAACAGCTCTAGATCAATTAAAAAATTTGAAATTCGCAGATAATCCGGCCCTTCTATCTCATACACACGAATAAATGCAGGTAAAGACAACTAGAGTAGCAACAGCCTCTGCATCAGTAAGCCTCGACATACACAAGGGGAAATGCAAGATCCCTAAATACAAACAACGAACACCAACCCAATCACAAATAATGTGCAAGCGCTGAAAGAAGTTGAAACTTTCACGTACCTGGTTAGCATCATCAATGAAGATGGAAGATTTGATGCAGACGTAAAGGCAAGGACAGACAAAGCAAGGACATCTTTACTAAGATTGAAGGATATATTGAACTCAAAACAACTGTCAGCCACAATCAAGGTCAGAATTTTCAATACGAACGTAAAGAGAGTTTTACTGTACGGAGCTGAAACTTGGAGAACTACAACCATTACCAATAACGTATAAATACTTCTAAACAATTGTCTACGCAACATACTCAGTATTAGTCTACCGGAAACTATCACCGACAGCCTACTGTGGGAAACAACAAACCAGACTCCAGCTGAAGAGGAAATAAGGAAACGACGTTGGAAGTGGATACGACCTACATTACGGAAATCACCAGACTGCATCACGAGGAAAGCCATAACTTAGAATCCTGAAGAGAAACGAAAAAGTGGAAGGCCAAATATATTTTTCCGTCTAGAATTTAGACGGGAATAAAAACGATGAATAAAACTGGAAAGAACACTTGCAAGTGCAAGGCTGAGCCGTGTCATGCGCGGAATTGAATTCCGAATGAATGTTTCTGCGTTTACTATTATTGACAGAATCTTGTGTTACATGTTGAAAGTTTATTTTCCGAGTTATCTCATTTTCAGCCTACAAGATTTTGATAAGAATCTAACGACATTTAAGATGCGCTAAACGAGGTTGATATGACGATTTGAGTGAGTTAGTTTTCGGCATATGGTTAGATTTAGTGCCCTTGTTAAATTTCTTTTAACTATTGGTTTTCATCATTACCTTTGAAGTAGATTCTTCTTTATTTTTTACTTCAGGGCGACTCAAGAGTCTGGTGAGTAAACACCTGAGCATGGAAAGATCTTACCTCACCAAAATGGTGTTGAGTAGCCTGCTCGCGGAACTTCCTCTGTTATTCCTGTTTCATTTTCTCACACTTCTTCTCTTGTTAGCACGTAGAAGACCGTCAGCGAAAGTTGTAGAAGTAATTACATGTTACAAAATGAGCTGACAGGCTAGCAAATGAAAAGACTATCGTTGATTGCTGATGGAGTTGGTCGTCATTGATTGGGAGTTAAACAGTGAGCGAGTTGATAATTCACTTTTGGGCTGCGGAAATACAACTTAGATGTTTTTGATAAATAGGTTAATCGGACCGACTTTCTTAAGGAAGTCGATTCTAGAGGGAAACTAATGTAACAATTTAGGTTGATTGGTTAAGAGTTGACCTAAAACAACCAAATATATGTAGAATTATGGTCTACTATGATATTAGTACTGCTCTAATAATAGGCCTAATCCTAAATTTGTAGATTTGTCATGATATAACTGCCTAATCTATAAGATCTTACGTGGAAGTCACACCATCGATTACACCAACTCACTGTATCGTACTAATTACCAATACATGATATAGAACAAGGTTAGGCTAGAGAAAGAACAATATATTTAATATGAACAGAAGATATAAGGTAACATTCAGCAGGGACCACCCCTGCATGCCGACCCATGCCGTTCGATCAACTCCAATTCATTCAATACATTCTTCCCGCCTTCTCCATCGTTAGGTTATTTCTCCGCGTTAAATATTGAATATCTATAATCCGAGTAATCTTGTATGGTTATGGTCCAATGCCACTACACTACTCAACCACCAGAATCAATGTGGTGTTAGTTCGATACCGAATTGGATGGGATTGTCGTGCGCCGAAGGTTACCAAGACAAGTAAGAATCCTCCGAATATTTATAAGCTGAAAGATAAATCAAAAAGAAGGCCTATGTTCGTCCGTGACGGGTGACAGGTGTAAGGAACAGGGAATTAAACCATGATATCAAGAGACATATTAGAGCCATCCCTAGCATGTAAAAAGGGGTAACAGACCTAATTAACCACGTATATACCAGCTTATGCAACATAACAAACGCAAAATAATTTTGTACGCTACGGAAAACACTTCGAATCTTTATATATATAAATAAAACAGACCAAGCTTAATTAATAAAGCTTAAGTAGAAGATACTAAAGTGGTAACGTTAGTTTCAATAAGAAAAAACGAAAGTCTTGTTTCAAGACGATTTTTCATATTGAACAGTTGTATTAACCGAATGAATTCAACTACATTGAACTCAAAGATCTGTCAATTTGAGTGCTAAGAAAATAGATTAGAAACACGGATACACATAAATTTTAGAGAAGATTTAAGAACATTCATCATCTGCAAATCGTTATTGTCCGGATCGTATAATTGAAATATAAAGGACCAATAAAGAAGCCAAACTCCGAAGACTAGCTGTTACAGCAACCCACGTTTTAGACGACTGATAAGATGAACCATTTTCAAAGCCGGACCCAATTTAATCTTCATATAATTACGCAGTGATTCCATGCTAAGAAGAAGAAGTGCTTGGCCATCTATTTCCTGTAACAGAAGAATTATAATACATCTACTTACTATTTTTTTAAATCTTCGTACACATAATACAATATCAAATTTATGGATGCTTTGACCACACAGTATATTTGCAGAAAGATACAAACTTTACAATGGAAAAAAGGTACGAATCCTTAATGTATAACTATAGAAAACTATCATAAGTGTTCGTTTAACAACTCAAGAGCTAATGATGTGCCTTCACTAGACAAGTAAAGCCTGAGGGTTCTGACCGACTTTAGCTAATTTTATTTAGAAAGGCGAAAAGTGCCGTTAATGCTCATAATATATATACTAATGCTTACTACTTATAAATCGACATACGGTAGCAAGTTATACGTACATCATAATGTAATGTGGTATGGCAACTTAAACCTATATACTTGTATGTCAGGTTCTACCCTGCGTATAACTGAATGACTGGTATTACAACTACTGAAATTAGATCAAATAAAGTACTAAAAGCGGTCATCGATTCGGACCAACCAGAGACTACAATATTAATATATCATTTTTCACTAGTTTATTTAAAATAAAGCAAAATTATAGTATGAAAATAGCTAGTGAAGATACTAGTACTAAAGATCTATTCGTTAAAAACAGTTATTGACCAACTACAACATAAAAAATTCGTCACTAGTGTGTAAAGAGGTAAATATTGCGCATAACCGGTGAATATAGCTAACATGGATTGTCATAATTGGAGGTCTATTGAAAAAAGCAAACTTATTATTCTCTTTGTAATAAATACCAGCATTAGTATTAACTGACGTTAGTTCAACTAATTATAAGACTAAAAAACTTGAAAACTGCATGACTAACTGATGCGATGTGTACACCACAATAAGCGGTATTTTTACTATCAAAGTATCCGTGTTACAATACAAGGTCGATTGCGAACGCTACTCAAGTTTTTAATCCAGCATTGATATGAAAAAATGTAACTTGCTAGGTTACAAAAGATTTCATCCAGAATTAAAAACATCCTAAATTAGAATATCGCGTTTTCCAGTCTCATTCTGATACCTGACCTACTTTGTGGGACTTCTGGATTCCTGTACACAAAGCATTATTCGTGCTGAAAAAAACACCACAACATAAAACCTGAGGACCAGTAATTATTTGTAAAATAAAAGAATGACCCACTTTAGTTTGAGCTATGGAAATAAGTAAGAGAAAACGGACAGTATTAACGATGACAAAAAACATACATGGTGTTTGAATTTTTCCGCTGCTTCAAGGAGAGTAGCATCACGAGCCGTAATGTAGTTGTATACTTCTTCAATGGTCCACTGAGTAGGATTAGGAAAAGGAAACGATCCTAAATCTGAAATTTTATACACAAACAGTTAAAACTGATGAGTGAAATGTCTCTTGTTAGTCGTCTGATACATAATTTTGATAAGTGAATTATGGCCAGCAACTTCAAACTATCGTTTGTATGCGTATTGTGTTTTTCTTTGTCTAATATTTTTCGACCAGTATACTTCACTTGACTTGAAGTGACTGACAGTTGGATAGGCTTTAACGAAGTTAAACGTAGAGTACTCATTATGATATTGGATCAATTATTGTGAAATTTCACCAGCTAAGATATCTGAGACATGAATTGAGAGAATACAGCCTTTCCATAAGTCGATCCATAATATAGTAAAATATTTACATAAACAATAGAATAAAAATCTTAAAAAAACAAATTTTATTTAATTATTTGCTGCTTCCTATATGAATAATGGGAAAGTGTGGCCTTGATATTTGCCTGTGAGATAGATCAAAAGCATCTTAAAGTATTTGATCCCGAAATTCATAAACTGAGCAACAAACCACCTTATGTAACTCATCTTCAGAGATATTTGTAGTTCTAATGATAGAAGTGTTTTGTATACAAAAATTAACAATTGTTGACTACATGAAATGATATAATAAACAGAACTGTGTTTTTAACTTTTTAAATATAAGAATTAAATCCTAGTCACAGTCAGTCAGTAACAACGTAGAATTCGTACGTACATCATTTCGAGTTGCCATACCACATTAGCAAGAGATGCAGTTGTCGATTCAAATCTCGTAGTGGTAGAGATAGTAAGAGTATAAGCACTAATCGGGAAGATTAGGGTTTGGAGATTTTATTTAAGGAGTGTAATCCAGTGAAGTAAATTCGGAAAGAAACTAAAGGACATGAAGAATTCAGAAGATTAGAATTTGATAGAACACAAAGAGTGGATGCACCTGTGCCATTGCAAACGATTTTGAGCCATGTCATTCAGGGTCTCTGACCATCGGTTGCTATCATCTCGCGGTCCCCAACAAGGTAGTCTACACCTAACAACATGACTCAGACCACTTGTCAGTGACTTCATGGACTTGTGCCATGTTTTGGTCTGGCCGCCCCTAGCATTCTTCCAACCTACTCCTATACCATTGAGCATAGCACGTCGAGGCAGTCGGTCGTTGGGCATACGTAACACGTGTCTCAGCCATCTCAACTGATGAAGTTTCACCACGTCATCAATTGATTTGCCATCCTTACCTAGTACCCGTTTCCTAACAACTGCATTACTTACTCGATGGTCCCAGCATATAAGAGCAATATTTCGAAGACACCTATGATCAAATACTAGTAACCTACGAATATCCTCTACTCTTACCGGCCATGTTTCACTGCCATAAAGTAGGACGGAACGAACTGCTGCGCAGTAAACACGTCCTTTGGTTGATAGACGGATATCTCGCCTATGCCATAAATGACGCAAGCTGGTAAAAGCTAGTCGAGCCTTCTGTATCCGTGCTGAGATTTCGTCACACACCAGACCACAAGGTCTGATGAGACTTCCAAGATAAGTGAAGCGGTCGACACACTCAACTACTTCACTCCCTATCACTAGTTCGGGTGTCGATGTAACCCAATCCTGCATTTCGAGGGAGAGAATCGCATCCCGAACATGCTTGCATTGTTGCTTAAAGTGATCAGAAGACTCTGCATTTTGTCAGCGTCTTCACGAAATAGAACTATGTCATCAGCATATTTTAAGTCAACAAGTGAACCTCCCGGTAGAAGTTCAACCCCTGGAAATTTAGATGAGGAAAGTGTTATCTCTAAAAGTACGTCAATGACAAAGTTGAACAAGAATGGAGAGAGTGGACAGCTCTGACGAACACCACTTGAGGTAATCAATTCTGATGACAGTTCGCCATAAGCTCTCACTCTACCAGTTGTGTTCGAGTAGAGAGCCTTTATAAGGTTAATGTACTTCTTTCAGTGACAAACACTGCCATAGAACCTCACGATCAACAGAGTCGAATGCCGCCTTAAGGTCGAGAAATACTACCATTGTGGGGCGTCTGAATGTGTGTCTGTGTTCTAGAACCTGACATGGTGTGAATATCTGGTCTATACAACCACGTCCAGGTCGAAAACCAGCCTGGTTTTCTCTAGTCTGCTCTTCACGAGCTTTAGTTAGGCGTCGAAGTATTATCGAAGCGAATATTTTAGACACTATATTTGTCAAACTGAAACCTGTGATTGTCACAAGAGGACTTTTGTCCTTTCTTATAGACTGGCACAATCAGTGATTGAGACCAGTCAGGTGGGATTACATCCAGTTCCGAAATTCTACCTAAGACCTCAGTCAATTTCACTACTAATACTGGACCAGCATCCTTAAAAATCTCAGGGTTAAACCTGTCAAGGCCTGCTGCCCTCCCTCGCTTCAGATTTCTGATAGCTTTTTCAACTTCATAAAGATTTGGAGGACTTACATTAACTTGGCATTCAGATTGACTAGAGATCGTGGGAAACAGAAGTGTGGCTGAAGGTTAGTTGAAATGATCCCTAAAGTGTTCTGTCCATCGATCCAATCTCCTTAATTGAGAGCAAATAATACGTCCATTTTTTTCCGAGATAGTTTTGCTAACAGTTGGGTTCCTAATACCGGTTTGCTTGACAAGTCTGAACAGTCGACTACTGTTACTTATTGCCGCCATCTTTTCTATCTCTCTTGCTTTCGCTACCCACCAGTGTGCGCGATCATTGCGTAGGCTTTTTGTCAGCTTGCACTTAAGCTGACTCCGCTCTTCGTTATGTTCAGAGCCGTATGGAATAAGATTTCGAGCATCTATCATTGAGGTAGATACTGAGATCGGGCGTTTCTCCCTAACCTTGTGGTTTACCGTACTAGCAGATATCACTGCTGTTTCCACAGCTTTTCGGATATCATTCCATGCTGCCTCGGGGTGGGTATCACATACATGGCTGCCTGTTTTCCTAGTTGTTCCTGGAATATACTCTTAGTTTGACTATCATCAAGTAAGGCCCTAAGAGGTTTTCTTGCAGCGCCTTTCCTACGTCCGGTAAGACGCAGACAAATATGCGCTCGCACTAGAGCATGGTCTGAATCTAAGCATGTGCTCCGGAATGAACGAGTCTTCTATCGAGCCCCTCCATCGGTGGCTGATAGCGATGTGATCTATTTGGGTCCAACGTTGGAACGAATTAGGGGGTCGCCATGTTAAAAGATGTTTTTCCTTATGTTTAAAGTTAGTATTTGCAAGGAACAGGCGATTGTCTGAGCATAGCTGCAACATACGGTCGCCATTATCTGTTCTTTGAGCCACGACACTAAGATCCACCCAGGTGTCTTTACCTTTCACTTAGTTTACCTACTTGAGCATTAAAGTCACCGGCCACTATAACTACATCAGAGCGCCTAGCATTTTTGGAGGTCAGAAAGCCTTCCGTAAAACTCATCTTTTATATCATCTGAGCTGCAGTCAGTGGGAGAATAGGCAGAGACGACGAAGAGGCAACGATGAGTGTCCCTATCTTTCCGAGTCCTTATTGTTCCGCTTAGTCGGACAGCTCACGAACAACTGTCTACTGGGATCCAGTCTAAGAGAGCTAGTTCTGCCCTAGGACTCAATACTATACCTACGCCGACGAGTCTACGAGAAGCAGCATCTGGGCTTCTAGATACACGAAGTGTGAATCGAGTTGGTTCTTTGTTTAGACATGGTGATGTCAAGTGAATGACTCTACTCGGATTCTGTAAGCGCGTTTCGGAGACGCAGCACATATCGATGGCGAGAGATTCTAAAGTCCTAGCTAAGGAAGCCTGTTGTCCTATTTGGCACAGTGTTCGTACGTTAAAAGCTCCTACGTGTAGTTTAGAGCGTGGTTTCAGGAAACCAGGAATAACGTTCCGTGTACTCGAATCGTTTGCCCTAGCGGTGCGAGGTGAAAAAAGGACGTGAGAAGGGTTAGTCGGGGAGATAAGAGTGGTATTAAGAGGTGTGTGAGGGATTTGAATGTGACCAACTTGATCTCGTGTGCAGTTATGGGTATGAGGGCTGGTGTAACTTCCCGGCTGCCCACACCATAGAAGGGTATCTCTTGAGGAACCTGAGAAGGAAGTCAGATTAATGTCGGCCTTCACTACCTGGTAGCGTGACTGCAGAAACCAGGGGACAACTGCTTGAGGCCGGTCGCGCATGGTCTTTTTGTGGGAGGTTTTTGATGTGTTAGCTCCGTTCTTCAAAGGGCCTTACCGCTGGAGACGGAAATCCGTGAGGTAAGGTGAGGTGTGACATTTTAAGGGTCAACCCTTTCTAACCCCTTCCTTACTTGTGAGAAGGCAGCATCGCTGCAGATGCTGGTTGTCCGAGGGAAACACCTTACTGCTGCCACATCCCTCTACAGTCAGCAGTACGACTTCGCCCTCAGACCTTGAGTTGATGATTTTAGTCTTACCGTTCTCCAATCGACCTGCCTAGCATAATAGAACCTACAGAAGCATATGTTCCAGCCAATATAGCTCGGTTGGGTCATCACGATAGGCAAGCCCGGTCACCGCGTAAAGGTAGCAGTCACCACTGTGTGCATTTAAAAAATGCCAACTTCTAGACGTTCCCAACCTTATCTCTCCATTTAGTCAGTGCCGGATGTCATATAAATCGTGTCCAATAAAGGCTACCAAAACCCAAGAAAGTTTGTACGGAGATAAGTTACTTTTAGCACAACTGTGCTTCAAACTTTTGGCCTAACTCAGTCAATGGAAGTGTTAAGATTATCAGAATTATCAAACGCATAAGATAAGATTATTATCTATTATACATACTGAAGATTGTAAAATGTACGGTACAGAGAATTCACAGTTATAATAGCATCATTTCCCTTACAGAATAAATTGGCTAATAACAAAAAATTGATGTCTTACGAATTTTAACTCAAAGACGGTTATAATTCATATATATATATATATATATATATATATATATATATATATATATATATATATATATATATATATTCGGCCACTTGGGTTTATTTTACAACAAAGAATGAGTAAAGATATGTTTAGTTACCACATACAATTATTTAAAAAACTATGACTATTTGAACATCTCAACCTTAGAGGTTCACAAAAACGGATAAATTACTGGATATGAATGAAATTATTTCCTAGAATTTTTTTATAGCTGAACAACTTTAATAAATAGAACAGTTTATCTTGACAGAACACTGGGGATCATTTTACAGAATCTACTAACAGGGATATAAGGGAAAATGATCAAAAACAAACTAATGGGAAATTAGCTCAAGAAAAAAAATAGTAGCGTTGCTAAACAACTTAATTCATCAACTGGGACAATATCAAACATTTTACTGAATTTACTCGGAAAGTAAGTGAGTTCCTAAACGTGATGCCTGAAGCCTCGTTGAAGAGTCAGTTGGAAATACGGATAGCTATTCGAAAACCAAAATTAAGGAGCAGATTTAGAAATTAATTCTCACACTAAATGCTCAAACAGATTAACGTAATGGACTTCGTCATATATAAAGGAGAGGCTTTGATATGGTATTTGACTTAAAAATATGTTTATAGTAGCACAGGGAACAGGGGTAACCTTTTGATTTTTTGTATTAAATGAGATTAGATGAACTTAGAGTTCACCTGAAAATGAACATTACTATTCATAGATGTTCAAAAGTGGAAATATTTTCCAGTCATATTGAAAATAAAATTATATTGGATGTTTCATGAACATCAATGAACAATGAAAGTTACGTTGAACAGAGATAATTAAGAAGTTATTATAATAGTACAACAATAAAACTCTGAATCGCTCATATTTTCCCATTGAGAAAGATAGATATGAAAACTGCAGACCTTATGCTGGATATAGTCTAAATAAGTTGAAACTGTATTTGTAGGTTTTATAGCATTACTAGATATGGGCACAAACTTACCCAGTGATGAAGGAGATACTGTTGACGAAGGGAGATGTGTAGTTAGACTCTGACTATCTAAACTATCAACATTTTGATGAGCGTACACAGGATAAGAAGATTTATTAGAATTAGATTCTAACTTTCCAGAAAACCACAAATGTGAATCGGATGTTTCAACAGATAAATTATCATGAGTAGGGGAATTCATTTCGTCAAAGTAACAGCCATTCGTATGCATGATATCATGGGAGATATGTGATTGAAAGATTAAACTTGACCCCATGGTTGCACTATTACTTCGATCGTTCTCCGATTTAAATAAACTCTTTCTATCTTCCATGAAGACAGGAGTACATGTTAATGCAGAATCGTTTTTGCAGAAAGCAGTAGAATCGGCAGCTTCGTTTTTGTACAAATTGGGATTGTCTTCTGGATAAGCGATTGACTTTTCATAGTTTTGACTCACATCAGAAAAGCCTTTCAGCTGAGGAGAAACTGAATCAACATACTCATAGTCGCACAGCACCGAACCAGTTAAACTGTTACTATAAAGTGAGAAAATAAAGAATAGAATGTGAATTCTAGTTTCAATGATTGGGTGCCATTAACATACAGTTACACTTCCCTTAAACAAAAAGTAAATTCGCTAATTCAAATTAATAAACTTAGCGAAAACACAGGACGAAAAACTTAACAAAGAAAGGAAGATCACGGAAAACTTGTCTTAAAATAGGAAGGGAACAAACAGTCTGAACATGTAATAAGGTATTTCAATGTTATTCAACAAAAGAGAGGAAGTCGATCCACTTGTATAAATCTGTTGCGTGTACCCACAATAAATAATGCATGGCCATCCATTTCCTGTAACAGAAGAGTTATAATACATCTACTTACTATTTTTTTAAATCTTCGTACACATAATACAATATCAAATTTATGGATGCTTTGACCACACAGTATATTTGCAGAAAGATACAAACTTTACAATGGAAAAAAGGTACGAATCCTTAATGTATAACTATAGAAAACTATCATAAGTGTTCGTTTAACAACTCAAGAGCTAATGATGTGCCTTCACTAGACAAGTAAAGCCTGAGGGTTCTGACCGACTTTAGCTAATTTTATTTAGAAAGGCGAAAAGTGCCGTTAATGCTCATAATATATATACTAATGCTTACTACTTATAAATCGACATACGGTAGCAAGTTATACGTACATCATAATGTAATGTGGTATGGCAACTTAAACCTATATACTTGTATGTCAGGTTCTACCCTGCGTATAACTGAATGACTGGTATTACAACTACTGAAATTAGATCAAATAAAGTACTAAAAGCGGTCATCGATTCGGACCAACCAGAGACTACAATATTAATATATCATTTTTCACTAGTTTATTTAAAATAAAGCAAAATTATAGTATGAAAATAGCTAGTGAAGATACTAGGATCATACTGAAAACCAACAACAATAGACCTTCCGAGTTGAAATCGAAGGTGAGGTACTACTTCATTACAAAAAAAGTGAGTCAATCACGGATTTATAGCTATTCACGGCTTAGAAGAACATATAATGTACAGAGTTATCGAGTTTTACTTAGTTACGTACGTTAGATGTTGTTGAATATCTACTGATAAATTGTGTGTGACTGAACATGTTTGAAGCTTACTTGGTTATTTTGAATTTCTGTTTTATTTTGGGACATTTCTTCTTTGAATTTCCACTGCGACGCTTCAGTTTGTGTTGTTTGCTTTTTTGCTTAGTTTTTGTTACTACTTTCCATGATTTTAGTTCTGGCTCATAAGGATGTGACACGTTGGACATTGGCATCAGTGACGATTTCGCTTGAAGACGCACAACGCAATCGGAAGGGCCACTGAAACGTCGACGACGTCCGTTCGCAGAATCACTCACAAATTCAGAAGCTTCGATTCGTGGAGGATGTTCAGGGGGAGACGAAGAGTAAAACGTGTTTAAAGAATCACTTGCATCTTCTAGGACAGGAGGGACAATGGGTGATGTCAGGGACCGAATGGAAGAATCAACTTGTGAAGTATTTAGGGAATTAGGTTCCACAAACAAATCAACACGTTCATTTTTATTGATGTCCATATGGTTGGAAGCAACGCTATTATGATTCGGCATTGATAAAACTGGAGAAAATGAACTCCTTATACTTGGAGGTTGTTTTGCTGACGGCTCACAAGGATCCCTAAAAGGTGTTGAGCTTTCTGATTCGTCATACAAATTACTCCTGACTAAATTTGCATGCGATTTAATTCTTCTTGAATGTCCCAACTTCTTACGAGGACATGAGGACGTTTTATCTGTCTTTGTGATACGACTGCAACTGTTAGTAAGTACTTTAGATAGATATTTTGGTGAGATGCTGGGAGCTTGGGAAACAGAATTATGAGCATACAGGAAACTAGGGGTTGAATGAATAACTGGAGAGCGTATAACGTTTGGTCCAGGTGGCTGAAGAGGGTAGTTGGCTAACTTACACCAACCGACAGGAAATAGCTCACGACTATCGAAACGAGCCCAATAGTCAAAAGCTCCCGACCAACCATCAAAATTTATCAAAATATGGTGGCCGTTCACTGCGCCTACAGATGCAGGACATATCAGTTGAGTATTTCTACGATCTACTGCCTCTAACTTGTCATTCACTTGGAAGTAGTTATCCTCTGGATCTGGTGGTTGCTGTAATATAAAAAATACGGTATTACTAATTGGAAACAACGTGAAAACAGAATACGAACTATAAGACAGATTACGACTTACTGAAATGAACCACGAAGGATCTGCAAAACGCGTTCCTTCAGTTGCTTTTTTAAGAGTACGATTCCACACAAGATGATTATGCATATAGCCAAAGGGTGGTTGTAGTGGACTTCCAGAAGGGTAAGGTCTGATTTGATCAGAATCAACTAAGAACCAATAATCATTACGATCATCAGTTCCAACCAGACGTATTCTCAAACGTGGACCACACGTTTCTATCACTCGAGCTAAACTGAATGAAGCTGCTCTGAAGCGTCGGACAGTTCCACTGGAGTGAAGATTCAAACTGGACCTTCTACATGGGGTCTCCAACAGCTGTTGATTACTAATAGTAGAATTATTAGCATAACGTGCTTTTATTAGGTCGTTTGAATATGGATTGAGAACAAGAGCTGCGCTACGTTGATCCTCCGCTTCTAGAATGGTATTCACCTCGAAATAGTTTGGCGGAGGAACAAGAGACTGAAACAAAAACAAGAAATCGATGTTTTGATACAGTAAGAAATGTATAAATGAGCAGTTAGAAGTGGAATTAAGATGAAATAATTGATTATATATAGTTGAATAATGTTGAAAACGACATCAATCTGAACTAAGTGGATGCGATTAGTTTCGCTAAAAAAACTGTTAAAATATACTAAAAACTCAAAATAGCTGTAATCTATATTTCATAAGACTCAGATACACTTGATAATATACTACTTACTATCCCAATACAAAATATTCCACTTCAGCTAAACCTAGTACTTGTAAACGCGTGGAAAATAAAAATACTGGAAATATGAAAAACCAAACCAGCAACATAGAACCTGTCACTTAACTTGATAGGCTCCCAATCCCACAGTTCGAAACAATGTACCTGAGATAGATATGTATATTAAAAAAAACGAGAATAAGTTTTGCGGACGAAAGAAACGAGTTAAGACAAATTAGTTATAGGCGGAACCTCCTTCGCCATCCAATCATTTACCCCCAAATGCCCAGGTATGGTCGGGGGTGGGGGGTGTTAGCTTTCACTCCCAAAATGTTACCATATGTCCACGCGTATACAACCACTGACAATGAAGACCTACTCACTGCCTTCTCACGACAGAGGTGTTGTTTACGAAATTAAGAGGGTGAAAAGCCAATGTCCGGTGCTTTAACTGGGTTGGCAAGAACGGAGGGTCTACCTAAGTGAGTTGGAAAACCGTAATTCCAAACCAACGGCGCACATGGGCTCCAAAATCCTGAGGGAATAAATGGCGTATGAACCTATTGTTGGTCACCGGCTACCACGAGACTGCATCTCCTGACGTTGCTTCATTGCCATATGCTTTGGACCTTTAGGTCTAAAGCTCAGGGTGTGGCGCCCTACGAAATCACCTGTTTTGGTTTGGGCGCCCGGGTAGTATCACGGACCTCACACAAATCAATCGCAACTCCTACTGACCTTTTCGTTATTGTGGCGGATACGTATTTGGTGCTCTCTTGTGCCAATGTTTGTGTTCAAATAAGTTAATAGTAAATAAATAAATCTACTAGACCTTCATGAGGCTGTTAGATATTCTATTATAGATGATAATGGCATACGTCAAGTGAGTTAATGGATCAAAAATCAACTAAGTCTGGTGCTCAACTAGTTCACCTACCATCATCTTATATTGTCTAATGTGGAACACTTAACATTTATAGGGGAAAATAAGACATGAATCCCACTTCTGAACAACTCGGATCTGCTTCATAACGAGCCTTGCAGATCAAGGATATATTTTGAAGTTATCAGCACTACATACATTAAACCCAATAACCTACATTTGCTTCTTAGCATCAGATGTCTTTTTCGTCGACTTACGTGTGTTATGTGTAAACGCTGAATTTACTGGTTTACGACAGCCTGTGTCCCACAACAATTAGATCAACAGGAAATATTTCGTCTGAAGAACCTTAGATTTAATGCTTTCTCCAGTAGTTTATGTGGTATTCAATAAAGCTTGTTAAGAACTATGAACAGCTGTAAGAATGTTTTATCAACAAAGTTACAAATACTATAGTAAATCAAGCAATTAGTCTCGTTGATAAACATTTCAAAACTCAAAAGTGCCGTCTCAAACAATGGCATTTGAATGTCTTGATTTTCAACCAGCAGGGCTGCAATATGCTGCGCCCCTGATGGCAAGTAACATGGTAACTAATAAGATGCATGATTTCGTGCCTAATTCAAGTGTATCAACACTGACTGGTAGCCGCTGAATGAAATATAGATATGAACGAGATATCTCTTAGATATATACAAAATTACGATGATGTTGGAATACCTACAATGCTTTTGTCCTACTGCCTACGTAATGAATGAACCACTGGGGTACGACCACAAAAGTTTTCATTTAGATGGACTTGTTGATACTGGAACCAGAATAGGCAGTCAAAAATAGGTACAATATTCGATGATATTATATACTCAAGGACAATTATTCTCAAAACGTTTTCCAAAAAGGAAAATTCTGAGCCCTTATATAGTTAATGGAATTTAAGCAGTACAAACTCATATGCGTGAATATCCAGTTATTTTACCGTCAGTGTTGTTAAAGAAACCTTTTGAATTATACCTTAAGGCCATGGACGGATTATTTCCTTTCTGTTCCTTTACCTCGTAATATTATTTATTTTAACACATAGATATTGAAACATGAGGCACCAAATACATATGCGCCACACAAATCTCATTCGATATGTGTGAGGGCTGTGATACTGCCCGGGTGCCCAGATCGAAGCAGGTGGTTTTCTTAGGGGGCCACACCCTGAGCCTTCGACCTGAGGGTCTGATGCACAAGGCAGTGGAGCATCGTAAGGAGATGCAGTCCTATGGAAGACGGTGACCAACAATTGGTTCATACGCCATTTGTTCCCGCAGGATACTGGAGCCCATGTGCACCATTGGTTTGAGATCCGGTTAAAGCGCCAGACATTCGCTTTTCGTCCTCTCATTTTCGTAAACAACAACCCCGCAACGAGAAGGCAGTGAGTAGGATTTCCCTGGCAGAGGCTATATACGCGAGGCCGTGTGAGAGCATTTCGAGAGGGAGAGTGGACTCTCCCCACTCTCGGCTGTACCAGGGCATTTGCGGGCTCGTAATATTAATAGGCTTCAGACCCATATGCCAACATTCCCTCACTTTGCTAGACTTGAAAATGCTTGACTTTGGTAGGTTACAGCAATTAGTTACTGATAACTTGAAATCTGGCACAAAAATATATCGGTCCAACATGGCATACTTCATATCAGCAGAGATTTATAAGGTAGTGAGTGAAACTACTGCCGATAGAACCAGATAACATTGTATCAAGGATACTGGTAAAACCACAGAACGAAAAATATAGGGTTATACGAAAATCGGGACATAGGAGCAACTGCGACTGGAGAGATATTACTTAGATTCTCTAGTCACAAGTTAAGAATAACCTATTCTTGATCGGTAAGACCCCACTTCTCATAAATCTACAACCAACAATGGAATATTGTACTGGTGCCATGTCTTGAAGGGAGTTACACTAATTCCTACTGTGGAAAGTAAAATAAACTATTCATTCTAAGTCAAATTTGTATACTGCAAAATAATACACTACTAACCTGTTTAAAGCACTCCAACTTCGCCGGGCGACCGTTTGTTTTCTTAAGATAGTCGTCCCATGTAAAACTATTAGAACTATCAGCTGAAACGTGGCAACCCATAACAGTGAAATAACAAAGAATAACTTCAGTATTCCAAGAAACAATATGGTAATGTTACGTTACCGTCTGGCTTTTATTGTATGCTACAACTACCCAGGAATGTTAACGTTTAAGATTATTTCGCTTATTTAAAACCTGAAAGAGAAAAAATGGATATGCGAATTAAATTAGTGTGATCTGCAAAAACAAATGAGTAACATTCTCGGCATTGTAATTCTTATTATACTCGCTACTATACTTTCAACACATTTATTCATAAAAGATGTCTTATCGTGGTATTGTGACATGGTAACACGTGATAAAGAACATTTGTGCCAGACTTTACATTGAGGATGACTAAACTATAAAATACACGTACAACCGACCATCATATGATTCCTGTTTAGTCGAATGTTCAAATTCCAGGTAGGGAACTCATGTAAGAAAAATTGCGAGAGCGATATGAAAAGTTTAAATAAATGAGAATCAACTTTCTGGAAAACAAAAAGCGGAGGCAATGTGCCCAAATCATACCAGCAATGATCACTAAATGAAAAAGGAAATTCAAACAGATCACTTAGGAACACTGAGCACGGAATACGAATGAGAATTTACTATCCATCCCTTAAATTTTAAACAATTCATTCTTCAATTAACGTGAAAGGGCTTCTTGTATCAGGAAACTAATTTATGACGCTACAAATAAGATTCGGTGAAACGACGTTTCCGAAGAAGTAATAAAAAATTACCATTGACCTAACCACGAAGCCTGTTCGAAATTAATCAGTAGCAGACATCACAACATGTGTTAGAAGCCAACACCACTACGGTGTATTTTTAAGACATTCAACTAATCTGTCAAAACCGACTACAAAAATGAGATATCTCAGCAGCAGCTGAAAGCGAGTTTTTCAGAGCTGTGCGACCCTGTAGAAAAAGAGGTAGAATACAGGGCGAGGGAGAATGACGAATTATATAAACCACAAGTACTACTACTTAAGCACAGATGGAGACTAACAAAAAACAATAACAAGGTCAAACTTCAAACTTGGCTCTTACATTTTTCTTGAATTGTTGCGAATAAAGCTAAAACAGTTTCAAACAAAATTGTCCAATGTTTCAGACTTAGATTATGAATAATTAAAGCTCATGCTACAGTGTAAAATCGGTTACAATTTCCTTTTTCTCCATTTTCGTAGAAATCACTTCGAACTTTGCGAAAGAAATACCAAGATTTCATAATTACCTCAAGTTTTAGTATCCGTTAATTTTTGAAAAAGTCACGTGGCTAGATGACCTGAGTCAGATTTTCTATTATCGGAATCAGATTGACTGATGTTCATTGCATCCTTTTCAATGGTTGGCCGTCATGAAAGATGTGATTTTTTCAAGATGCACTTTTATTCTTAATAAGCTACCATGTACAAGACTTAAGGCAGGATGAAGACTCCAAGGGTTTGACTTGTATTCAGCACAGATGGGTGCTAGAAGGTAAACGTCCATCACTACTCATCTATATCAATGACTTGCGTTTCAAAAAGGGCAATGATTTAGTACCGGTTGTGATTTTCCTTGCTTTCGTGTGCTTGTTGATGAACAACAAATACATAGAAGCAGTTAATTCAGTGGTGGTAATATATAAAAGAAAGATTGCATATAAGGATATAATACATGAAAAAAGAATTAGGCCGTATAAAGGAAAATATAAAGCAATTTTAATCTCATAGTTTAAGGGAAGACAGAGAGTGTACACTTCTACGTCATTGTGATCGATTCTGAGTCATGTCATCCAGAGTCTCCAATCATTCGTGACGATAGTCACACGGACTTCAACAAAGTAGTCTGCATCTACCAGTATGGCTAAGACTAGAGGCTAGTAACTTAAAGTACTGATGTCACGCAACCATGTAAACTTAATGTATCGCCCAGTGTAATGACGGTCATCTGTGCGTTCAAGTAGTCATAGATTTTGTCATTTCATAATGTATTTTTAATTAAATAACTAGATTATGTTGTTAATTTTGTTCATTTTTTAATTTTCATTCGCAACGTCCTACTGCGTTGCACTGTACGTTCACTGCACGCTGGGATGATATCCCAAATCATAGTGAGTTCAATCACATAGTTGATTGTTTCTAGATAGACGATGAGTGCATAATGTTACTGAAGAAAGGTTTGTTGTACTGTAAACTATGTTTTTATGAAGAACTGACTGATGTCTTCAGCCTGAAAGCAATATATATATACTTTATCTTCTGTTAGGTGAGTTCGACCAGCCTGTATTTGTGTTTTGGTTTTATCGGCTTAATTATATCCATTTAACTACTTTGAGCAACCTGTCTGTGCAAATGAAACAATAATTATGACACCTGTTTAGTTTAGTATTCTTGGTTGTCGTATAGTTCAGCTTGGATTTCGGTTTCAGACTTGCGTAGTAAGGACAGAAGTCCTACGGCCTATTTTATTCCTTTTCTAGTATGCTTCTGTGAGTGTCCAGTCTTCTCTTGAAAGAGTCAATTGAAGGTGCGGATACCACTGCTTCAGGCAGCAGGTTCTAAGTATTGATGACTCGGTGTGAAAACCTGTATGCCACGGGTATTTTGTTCGTTCTTGGCTTTTCTACTCGTCTGCTATGTCCTCTAAGGTGTCCCGATCTAGTGGGAAGAAAGAGAGAAAATAAGCTAGGTCCGAAATCATTTCTCAGTATTCTGTACATCAAAATTAGATCTCCCCTTAGTCTGCGATAGGACAGAGTAAAGAGGTCCAGTTTATCAAGCCGCTCTTTGTATGAAAAAACCCTGGAGTTCCGGAATTGCACGGATAGCTTCCCTCTGTATTTTTTCTAGTATGTCCGAGTCACCTTTTAAACAGGGGCTTGCAGCCTGAACGCAGTTCTCTAGCTTAGTTCTCACTAAGGATTTGTATACAGTGGTGAACATGGCAGTATCTAACTTAGTGAATGTCCTTTTTAAAGCCCAGTGGGTTCGAAACCCCTAGTCTGCGACCTCCCGGCAATGGACCGTCGTCTAAGATCATTACTCATTTCACTCCTAGATCCTTATGAGACCGGACTATTGGTAATGACACATCCCCTATGTTGTACTTATTACCCTTTGAATCCCCCAAGTGCATGTAGACACACTTTCCTGCGTTGATAAGCATCAGCCACTCTTTAGACCAGTTTATCATATTATTTAAGTCTGCCTGAAGAGTAAATGCGTCTTTGTCTCCAGTTACTACTCGCCAAATTTTTACATCGTCAGCGTATTATAACATTGGAGACTGTACTATACTTGTAGGATCATTAACGTACATTATAATAAGTAAAGGACCTAGGATGGAACCTTGGGGTACTTCACTAAGTACTGGTCTCCAGATGGAGCACTTGGAATTTATTCTTACTTTTTAAAAGAGATCCAGAAATACCAAGGTTTTCCAACTTCAATAGCAGTCTATTAGTTGGCACCTTGTCAAAAGCCTTACTGAAATCTATGTAGACAATATCCACTGAGTTTCCGTTGTCTAGCGCATTAATCCAGAACTTCTTAGCTATAAGGAGGTTCGTTGTACAGGAAAGACCCTTTCTAAAACCATGTTGTGCGATGTTCAGCAAGTTATTGGTTTTCATAAATGCCGTTATGGTCCGTTTGATTATTCTTTCCAGTATTTTAATTACAACACTGGTGAGGTTTACGGGTCTGTAATTCGATGGAACTTGTCGTGGACCTGTTTTATGTATGGGAGTGACGATTTCGTCCTTCCAGTCCATAGGTAACACACCTTGGTCAAGTGACATATTGAATATCACAGTCAGTGGGGCCGCGATATATTGGGCAATATGTCTCAAGATTTTGGGGTGTGGTTCATCTGGTCCCGTTGACTTCTCCATATTTAGGGTGCTAAGAGCCTAAAGCACATCTTTTTGGTCGAAGTCCACGATGAGCAGCTGGTTTGTTGATTCTGCATTTGGGTCTGGTTTTTTCTCCAGAGGAGGTTCCTGAGTGAAAACTGCCCCAAAATATTCAGCCATAGCCTCTGCTTTTTCTGATCTTCCTCTATCACTTCAGATTCACTTCCTACTTTAATTAGGTTGGGAATCCAGTGATACATCCTTGTTCTGTAGTTTATGTACGAGAATATTCTCTTGAACTGCTTGAGTGCAGATTGTGCCAGCTGCATTTCATATTTTGTTTGAGCTTGCCGAATTTTCGTTATGCACTCGTTTCTTGTCGATCTGTAGCGTTCCATCGTACCTGCTGTTCCAAGGCGGATGGCAACGTCCCAGCATTTCTTCTTTCGTCTCAGTAAACGTCGAATATCACGCCCTATCCAAGGATGTCCGTGCTTCTTTTTCTTTGGGACAGTCCAGGGTATGTGTGGTTGAGTTACCCGATTGTATAACTGCCTGAATAGAATCCATGCCTCTTGTACTGTTGCCTTTGAGTCAATTTCCCAGTTTTCTGTCGATGCTGCGGAGTTAATTGCCTGCATATCTGCCTTTCATATGTTAGGACGGGCCGGTGCAACTGTTTGACAGGCAATCTCAGCCATGAATTTGAATAAGATGAGCGCATGGTCAGTTCTCTCAAGTGGTGGGAGAAAAGCCATTTGACCAACATCATCACCGTGTGTGAAGAATAAATCTAAAAGAGAGGAAGAGTTTCTTAAGTCGTATCTTGTGGGATCTCTAATGTGTTGGAATAATGCCAATCCAATCGAGATTTCTAACAGTTCGCAGTCGAACGACGATATGGATGACCCTACTTGCAAGAAACTTGCGATACACGAGCCTCTTAGCACCTAGTTCATATGTAGTAAATTTCAGTGATTTAGCACATATCTTCATCATTTTCTTGAGGAACCTACAGACTCGGGTCCTTTCATAACTTATTCTAACCACTGTGAGTTGTCACGACAGCTGATGGACACGCGTTATACATCCTATCCGTACTTGCGTCTAATCTCATAGCCTCTTATTCAAATGCCATAGGATAGGCAAGCAATGCCCCTACCCGCACTAATGGAACACTAGTAACTCAAAGGCACACTGTATGATGCCTTACATTAGTCTACGCACTCGCTTACCTCTTTAGTGAGAATATAACTACAGTTCTGCTAAAAATCCTATGAACCCCCCTACCTTCATCAAAACAAATAAGTCCGTATTTTCTGCATATAGCAATTTTGTTTTTCAGAACTAAGATATAACAGTTAGAATTGGAGTAAATGGCAGCATACAACTAATGCACGTGGTACATGTTTTCATCGATTAACTGGAATAGCGAATACGGATATTAGCTTAACAGGCTTATTTAGAAAGACTAGTGTCTACTTTGAACTTACTGCGTGAGAAAGTTATAATGGAACTACGAATAATGTAGGAATCTAGTCTCCCAGGGCGTACGAAGCACTCAAAATGGAAGGCAGTTGTCCAAAAATAATTCGAATATGAAGGTGAAAATTTGCAGATACTTTTCATCTTAAGGATGAACATATTAGGTACCGGCCGAAGTCATATCGTAAAAAAACACAGATTTGCGAGTGGAGAAATATGATCTATAAGACAGTTAGCTTAATGACATTTAATTACCTTTTTACTCCCTGATCATAACTTTTCGGCTTCCTTTTATGGCCAAAAGAGAAAACATACACTACACACCGATAGCAGATTTTCAATGTTAAGCTTGCTTTAACGCACGACGTAATGAGTACAACCCCTCCATTACTACTATATGGCATATTTTTTATAACAAACCCTCTGCGATAGATCGGTAGCATCTGTGACTTCGTCTATGGTTGTCCGAAGTCTCGTTCCTTTCAGAAACAATGCTGATCTCCCCTACTGCTGGGCAATCAGTATTAGTCTGACTCGTTGGTGGGATAGTGTTGTCCATATTACTGAAGAAACTTTAAAAGCGGAGATTGTTTCCTTTCATTTTGCCGATAACATCATAAAGGACAGTTAGGAACGGACATGCGGACAGTTAGTCACAGGCGGCAGCAACAATTATTTTAGCTAAAGAAAATAATTTCGCCTTTGGATATCTAGAAAA